GGGCGATTGGTGGTCTTCAGTAAGGAGGCGAGTGTGGGTGGACAGGGTCTGATGAGGGGAGATGAGATACGTACCTGGTACATGCAAGAGGTCGGCTATGGTGTTGACGTCATGTACACTGGTCTTCGAGAGTCGAAGCGAGCCTGTTGCGAGAATGCGGATGTAGGTAGGATAGTCAAGTAGTGGAGGCTGGGCGCTGGGCGCCAGACAGAGAGGAGCAACTTTGGATACTGTGTTGGTGTGGCCTGAAGGCTTGAACATTGACTCATTACTTCATTGTATTGCTCTTATTTGGATGGGATCTCGGTGCATTTGTGCTCTCTGCTTGTACACGACTACTTGGAAATCTGTGTGATTTGGCAACTTGGTTTTCTGTATGTGGTTCCCACTCATATTCCTTGCATTTTTCTTTTTCCCCCCTTTTTTTTTCTTCTTTTTCTTGTTTTTTTCTTTTTCTTTTTCTTCTTTTTCTTCTTTTTTTCTTTTTCTTTTGCAAGGAATATGAGTGTGAACGATATACAGAAAACCAAGTTGCAAAATCACACAGATGTCAAAGTTCGTGTACACGCAGAGAGCACCATTGCACCGAGAATCCATCCAAATAGAGCAATACAATGAAGTAATGAGCCAATGTTCAAGCCCTCAGGCCACACCAACACCGTGTCCAAAGTCGCTCCTCTCTGTCTGGCGCCCAGCGCCTAGCCTACCCAACTCGACTATCCTACCTACAGCTGTGTTCACGCAACAGGCTCACTTCGACTCTCGAAGACCAATGTAGATGATGTCAACACCATAGTTGTGGCATACTGCGTAGCCACACAGGCCCTGCAGGGCCCGTCCCGCACTTTCAGCCTAAAAGCCTAAAACTTAGGGCTTACAGGCCCCCGTCGTTCAGCCTGAAAGCTGAAATACGAGGGTCTGCAGGCCCTACTCCGTTTCAGCCTATTTCAGGGCCTTTCAGGCCCAGAGTTTTTCCAGCCTGAAACGGAGGGCCTTTTTCAGGCCCTCGTTGTTTCGACCACCCCTAAGACTCAGGCACGAATACAGGGTTTCGGAACAGGCCAGAAATAGCCTGTTCCTCACGAGCT